TATATATATATTCAAATGCAACAACTTTTGCGATGCAAAAATAGGCAAATACATAGAATACTGTTTTATTCTTAGAAAAATGCGGAAACTCATGATTAGCCCTACTTGATTGTATACTGTATAAGGTCTTGATGTTACTAATTAGGATGTTAATTTTCATTCTATACCCTTTTTCTTTGCATCGGGGGGAACCTGAGCCCGGTCGGGCTGTTTTGATTAACGGAAAATCAACAATTTATATCAATAATATACGCAAATAGTTACCAATTACCATTATTATCTTTTTTCAACTTTTTGGTGCTTTGATGTCTTGTGGAAATGTAACCTCAGCATTAGAGAAATATGGCAGCCCTAGGGTACAGGTGTACGATCGAATTGAGAGTTAACCCTACCGTTAAAGTCGAACTGGTTGAAAAAGTCGGTCAGAGACATCCCGTTCTCGATCTCCCTGAAGGTGAGGTGGTCGTCTCCGTCGGTGTTCAGTTGGTGAAACTTGTCTCCAACGCCCCACAGTTCGATAATCTGAGCCAGATAGATGAAGCCATCACCTACGCACAGAGTAAAGACGCAAAGAATTTCACTGTACTTACATACCCACTGGGTAAAGGGTACAACAAAGGATTAGCTTGTAAACACATGTAACACAGAGGCTAACAAAAAATAACATCGGCTATTCCAGGTTCTATCAACTTTTTAGCTTCTTCACTTTGGTACGTTATGAGAGAAAAATAACATATAGCCAAACAGTAATAAATATGTTACGAAACCTCATAAGTAGATAGCAACAGGAAAGCAAAAGAGTAGCAGAAAGATCCAACTACATTGTCTTCTGTACTGCTGTTCACAAACATTTTTTTGTACAAAAAGTGTACACTGTGTATATATGCTGTAGTGCTTACCGTCTCTATCCAGGGCCGTGAGAGCCTCATGCAGAGACATGGCGGCATAAACTTCATCCCTGGTGACCAGCCCGTCCCCGTTGGCATCCAGGCCGCTTGTAGCACGAAGAAGACTTGTAGATTCGTCAAAGAAGGTTACACATGCAGGGAATAGGATACGCAAAAAAAAGTTACTCAAGCAACTAGTATGATTTTGGAAACGGTCAGATGCTTCAGGTAGCATCCACTATCGTTTTGGGAACATTTCAGGTAGTGGATGCTACCTGAGAGGTTTCCAAAATCATATCCAGTTGCTTAAGCAACTGTAAAATCAGTGTACATGTGTTACACAGAAGCAAGGCTATATTGTCCGATACAGATTGACGTTCTGCAACTTGTTCTAAGAACAAATGCGGGATATACATGAATTATGCGGAATACATGAACAATGGTGGATTCATGGATTATTATGGTTAATTAACAAAAGGTTGATTGTGGTGAATTAAGGTAGATTATGGTGAAGATGAAAGCTCAGCACCTACCTCTTCGCTGGAGATGCAGTTGCCAAGGCAACGAACAGCAGAAGGAAGGGAGTCATGGTTGATTCTTAGAGCTGAAACAAGACCGCCACATACTACAGTTAGAGTTAAACTTAAATAACCTCAAACTCTTGAAACTTGAAACTTTCATAATTTCACAAAAAAAGTAAAAATCAGCCAGGAATAAAAAAAAATCGACAGTCGATCGGTGTAATATAGCCAGTTGCCGCCGCGCCGCGTGCCTGCGAAGCTGGTGTGTTACGCCGAAAGGTGGTTATACCGGCTATACAGATACAGATACAGATACAGAAAAAGATGTCACGGCAAAGGTGACTGTACTAAACTTATAATTACCACTTCTGGCGACTTTAAGTCTCCGACTTGAAGTGAGCGGTCCAAAAGTTCCGAGGTCCTAATATATCATCTGCGTGAGAAGGTGCACAGGTTTCAAATGATGAATCGATGGTAATGTAAACTTAAACGCCTAAATATAACCCAATTGACGCTGGTACCTATGCCAACATCTATGCCAAATAACTCAATAAGTTATTGAACATTTAATTAGGAGTTTTTTGGGGGGGAACTGTGGTTCCAATGTATATTTGGGCATTTTATTTTGATTGAAATCGTTACGGAAAATTTTTCCTTGCTTTTGTTTCGCGTATACCACGAGTTTAGATATCGACACGTATAAGTCCCCTGTCAGGCATAGCTAGCTGACCATGACATCTTGACCTTCCCTAAGCTAGCTGAACATGGATGGTGAGACATCAATGTCGGGAAAGTCATATTATGCTTGGGGTGATATATCCAGCAAACTGGAGCTAGAATAGGGTGGTTTCTTTTTTTTTTTGCCACTGCCCGATGTTGGTCGGGGAGAGATCGGGAGCAAAGTCGTGGGAATGTCTTGAAAACGTCTTACGACATGTAAATGCTGATACGCTGTAGAACTTCTCAAATGGACGTTTCCAACGACCTTTGACCCCTTGCTGACGATAATGTTACATTTACTTACTCATATTGCTACAGAAGACTGAGTAAATACGATTGGCGAGTCTAATATTTTGTGACTTAGAGAACAATGATAATTTTTTTCCATAGTGTATTTTACAAATTAAGATGACATGCTAAAACCCAGCGCCAACACACAGGGTTTTAGATGGCAGAGTTACGTTACATATCGCTTAACTATATGTTGATGAAATTAAGTAAGACTAAAAACGGCGAGGAAAACATAAATGAAGATTGAAGAATTTTATTGGGTTCTTGTTGACTATTTTCTAATGATATTAGTGTTAATTTTTACTTTCAAGCCGGTTGTGGAGAGTCTGCAGTTGGAACAGCACAGGGTCGAGCTGTGGGGGTAAAAAAGATTAACTGAATAAGTTCGTTATATATGTAAATATATATCTGTAATCAGCAAAATAAACGTTACAGAGTAAAGAAGAAACAAACTTTAGAACCTAAAAATGTTTTAGAAGCTATCTATTACTAAGTTCAACAATTTAGCAGCATAGTTAAGCCTGGCTATTTAAAAAAAGCAAAAAAAAAATAAGATAAATATGATATAATATAATATGATATAAAAGATAGACCCTAGGTGTAGAACCATCTGGGTAGTACGTGGTTGAAATTTGGTATAGCAGCATTTTTGGGCTGGATTTTTTTTATTCGCCCACACGCACTAGTTTGGAGGTCTTCAGAGGATGTCATACAAAAATACAAAAAATTAAGTCAGTGTGACCTAACGAAAGAATCGAGATGGTAAAGACAGACCCGTTAGGCTGGGACAGTGGCCTGGATGGTGTTCCATATGGTATAGAGAGCGGCCGACTCTGTATCCTCTAGATAGCCGCTACCTGTGTGCAGTCAAATAACAAAGGTAAGAGAAGATTGATACATGTATTTTCATTTAACGTGACTACTATTTGGAACAATACAATCCATTTAGACAAATGTAGATCAAAGAGGTTAGGTGTAACAAGTCGTTCGGTGTAATGAAGTCAACTGCCGCCGTGCCGCGTGCCTGCGAAGCTGGTGTGTTACGCCGAAGGCCGGCTATACGTATACAGAAGCTGAAGGGCGGTGTCTACCGGCTATACAGATACAGAAGCTGGTGTGTTACGCCGAAGGGCGGTTATACCGACTATACAGATACAGAAGCTGGTGTGTTATTCCGAAGGGCAGTTATACTGACTATAAATACAGATACAGAAGCTTGTGTGTTACGCCGAAGGGCGGTTATACCGGCTATACAGATACAGAAGCTGGTGTGTTACGCCGAAGGGCGGTTATACCGGCTATACAGATACAGACGCTGGTGTGTTACGCCGAAGGCAGGCTATACCTGCTATATAGATACAGAAGCTGCTGTGTTACGCCGAAGGCAGGCTATACCTGCTATACAGATACAGAAGCTGGTGTGTTACACCGAAGGGCGGTTATACCCGGCTAAACAGATACAGATACGTGTAAACGCACCGTCCAAGTCGAGTCGTGTGAAGAGCGTGTCCAGGTTAGCGTGGTGGTGGTGAGCCTCGCCAAAGCTGACCACTCCGTCGCCGTTGTCGTCCTGAGCGTTGATGAAGTCTTGGGTCTGGTCGCCAAGGAGAACCATTAGCTCAGCCGAGTCCAGCCGGTGACTGTCTACACATACAAAATCCCCAAAACGTACAATCCCTTACATGGTGTGTCTTTCAAATGAAAGTTCATCTGTGTTGGTAGTTACATGTTTAGAGTTATGTTCTCTCACCTAGAGCTTTCGACCATTCACTGGGTCAGTCTACTGAGGAAGACCAGAGTGACTGGTCGAAAGCTCTAGATGAGAGAACTTTTTTTTGTTGGACCAAAAGTTTTAACTCTAAACAAGTACAAAAAATGCAATAGTACATGTAAATGTAATAATGGATAAGGAAGTCGACCCCAGTGATGAACCGGGGGGGGGGGTGGTACAAACTCAGCCACGTTTGCAAACGCGCAACCTACATCGGCTACATGTAGCGGCGAGAAGCAGAACTCCAGTCAGAAGCTCTGCGGAAGGTGCCTGATAGACACCGAAACGTCAGTAAGGTAGACTATCTTGGTTGTGTAAAAGAAACCTGCTGTATCCTTAGCCGCCTTCGCTGACTTGTTGGGCGTCGGCGTTATTTTCTTCTGCGGACGATTTTGCTGCCGAGGGAGTTTTTTTTAACGTGGAGAGAAGGTTGTTGGAGCGCGAAACCTTCTCTCCACGGCAAAAACTCCCCCGATGTTGTATTCTATGTGTGTCTTATTTTCGTACCGTCAGTGTCCAAGGCAGTCAGAATCTCGCCGTAAGTCATGTGGCTCTGCACCTCCAGACGCGAGAGTAGACCATCTCCGTTGTCGTCCAGAACTTCGACCGGCGTAGGCGTGTTCAGGACGTCGTAGATGTAGTGAAGCTGGTAGGCCTCAGCCTGGTCCAGGGTTCCGTCACCTGTAGACATGCATTATTGGCAATCACTCGTGATCTTTATTTGCAATCGGATACAGATTCATGTACAGATACATAGTAATATGCACAGATACAGATTCATGTACAGATATACAGATATACAGACTTTCCGAGTAAGATGACCGTGTCAGTCCCTACACCTGAGTGAGGGTTACAGTTGACACGGTGGCCTTCGCGTGGATTTGTTTAAGGTGGATAACAGGTTGCGAATCTGAGACCCACATACTTGGGCATCCACCTGAAGACATAGACTACTTTAATTGAAATACTTAATTGAATACTAGTCCCCACTGGCAAAAGATCGTCAGCAGTGAAAAGCCATTACCAAACATCATGCTGCCTCAACGGCTGACTAAGCTATGGGTGAGAATGAGTGAGTGAGTCTCCACCAGACTCCTCTGCAGGTTGAAAAAGTAGTAGTTGAAAAACCGGTCTAAAAAGCCTGCAAAGGAGTCTGGTGGAGACTAATTGAATTCTACAAATGTATAAAAAGCACTGCTTATGTATGTCACATATCGCCTGTGGAGGCCAATAATATGCATTGGATGTACATGTATAATCGTAATAACAAACAAGCTCGTATGAAATGGAAAATGTTTTCAGAGGTTTGCTGAAGAATGTTTCAACAATTGGATTTCGAGCATTTGCATAAGTTGTGCAATACTAATTCATTTCATACATCTCTTAAGATTCACTACTTAAAGAAATGCGGCATGATTAATTATAAGCCTCGGTCACAACCCGCCGTACGTGTTTTTTCTCCGTACGATTTTTGGGAGGCCACGTCTGCTACGTTTTTCTGAAAACGTTCGTTGTACGCTCATAGGCTGTACAGGGCACGCACGTCGCACGTACGGGTGGTGAATCCGCAGACCGCACGCATGAAAAGTATTACACTTAAAGTTCTACGGCGTGTCTGCGTGCTCCCAAATCCGTAGCATTCCGTACGGAGGCGGTACTTACCACGCACGGATGCCCTACGTTTGCCCACGTTTTTGCACGTAGACAGCACGCAGAAGCACGTACAGCGGGTTGTGACCAAGGCTTTAGGGTACACTGTGGAATTGGGAGTTAACGTTACCGTTGAAGTCGAACTGGTCGTAGAAGTCGCTGAGAGTCATCCCGTTCTCAATCTCCTGGAAGGTGAGATGGTTGTCTCCGTCGGTGTTCAGTTCGTAAAACTTGTCTCCGACGCCCCACAGCTCGATGATCTGTGGCAGGTAGATGAAGCCGTCGCCTGCATATTGAGGAAGGATAATGCATTAACTGTCAGTCCTGCTCAGAAGCTGGTGTGTTATTTTTTCAGCATTCCAACATGTAATCACAAGACGTGGTGACGGCACACTCAAGTGTTTTTCAATTTACATTAATGCCGCCACTAACACAGGGGACAATACAGTACTCATTTTCACCTGAGCGAAGTGAGGAAAGTTGTGTTAAGTGCCTTTCCTAAGGGCACAAGATCGGTGGCATGTCAGCTATTCATGTACAGAAACAGACGGATCTGATCGCGCCATTAAGCAAAACTTTGCTTACCATCTCTGTCCAGGGCCACGAGAGCCTCGTGCAGGGTCATGGCGGCAAACACCTCATCCTTGGAGACCAGACCGTCACCGTCGGCATCTAGGCCACTGGTCTGCCTGCATGCAGAAAATCTGTAGTTAATCTCCAAGCAGATCTTTCGGTGGCCAGGCAGTACCCATTAGCCAGACCTCTTTACTGATGAGGCTGTTGCAAAGGCAACGAATAAGGCAAGGGAAGGAGCCATGGTTGATTTTATGAACGACAAAATTTGTAGTCAATCTCCAAGCAGATCTTTCAATGGCCAGGCTGTATCCATTGGCTAGACAGTATCTTATATACACCTGATCTATTACTATTGGACACTCCTCTGGCCAAATGATACTGCTTTGTGATCGTATGGTCTGCTTGGAGATTACAAGTCAACATGTTGTCACGGTAGGGGGGTGACATCTAACTGTACTGTGGGGAGCGTAACCACTCAAACATAGCTCTCAAATATTGGTTCAGTAAGTCTTTGTTTTGTTGATCACACGTTTTACTCTTTTTCATTATAGCTTCTTTTATTCAAGCTTCTTTCCAATGACATGTCAGGCAAATTTTTCGATGTAATTAAAAACCTATACAACCAATCTGAGGCCAGTGTTAAAACTAAAGAAGGCCTAACTGAAAGTTTTCCCGTTGAAATTGGTGTTCGCCAAGGATGTGTTTTAAGCCCAACCCTATTCAACCTATACATCAGTAATCTCATAGATAAACTCAACGCAGAAAACCTAGACGCACCCCTACTAGAACATTCCAAAGTTACTAGCCTCTTTTATGCCGATGATATCGTCTTATTATCGGAAAGTGAGCAGGGATTACAGAAAGCAATAAACACCCTTGGACGGTACTGCAAACAATGGAAGTTAACTATCAACCTGGCAAAAACTAAAGTAATGATATTCAACAAAAGAGGCCTCTTATTTTCTAACCTTCGTTTCTCACTAGATGATAAAGAGATAGAGATAGTTCAATCATACTGCTACCTAGGAGTTGTGTTTACAGCAGGATGTACATTTAGCACTGCCATGAAAAATTTACAAAAGAGGGCCCTAAGAGCAATGTTTAACATCAGAAGTACTCTCGGAGAAACCAGATCCTCTGTATCATTACACTGTAAACTGTTTGACACATGTGTTGTACCGATATTACTGTATGGCTCCGAAGTTTGGGGCAGTATCAGTTTGAACGACAAATCGCCATTAGAAACTGTACATCTGAAATTTTGTAAGTACATTCTTGGTGTCCGTAGGAACGCCAGTAACTTCGCATGTAGAGCGGAACTAGGACGTTTCCCCTTACAGATAGAGGCCCATTGCCGAATGTACAATTACTATTTTAGACTAGTTAACGAAGTGCTCCCAAGTAGTTTACAATATGAAGCCTATACAGTACAACAAGAGCTAGTTCGCCGAAATATACCCTGCTGGTTATCTGATGTAAAGAAACTGTTAGAGGAGTCCGGTTTTGCCTACCTGTATTTAAACGGTCACTTAAACACACCCTCCCATCTAAAAGAACTAAAACAGAGATTGAAAGATATCCACATCCAAAAGTTCTACTCAGAACTACAAGCAGAAGGACGAAGAGAAAACCAAGGCAACAAATTAAGAACATACAAAACATTTAAACTGAACTATGAAAGAGAAACATATTTAAACATTACAAACTTCGAACATCGAAAAACCATGTGCAAACTTCGTATTAGTGACCATCCCTTACATATAGAATCCGGTAGGCACAACCGTACCCCTCTGAACGATAGGACGTGCGAATTCTGTGATCATCTATATGTAGAAAACGAGTCGCACTTTTTACTTGATTGTAGTTTATATGAAAATGAACGTAAGGTGTTATTTAATGTACTAGATTTAGACAAGAAATATAAGAAACTGTCCAAGCAAAATAGATTTATACATCTTATGTCAAGTAGAAATGAACACATTGTAGAAAAAGTGTGTGATTATATCAATAAGTGTTTCAAGAAGAGAGAAGAAACCAGAACCAAAAAATAGACAAACAGTAACTTTAAGAATTATGTAGTACTTAGAATCCTAGTATAGAACTCAAACATACATTATGTATGTATGCACCACATGTATTTTATACGGTGACAAAGCATGTATGCATTTAGCCCGTCTGGGCAAGGATATGCAATAAAGATCATTTCATTATACAACTCAACCACATGATGGTGTGTTATTCTGAAGGGTGTGAATCAGGGCACAGAAACAATGTGGATCATGGAGCGTCGAAGCAAGTCTATAGCAGTTCAATGATTTAGAGTTGAAATCTGAATGTTGCAGCAGATAGTATTAAAAACACTAAAAAACAGAGTGACTGGCTTTAGGTAGATTATGGCGAATTAAGCTACGGGCTTAAGGTAGATGTTCGGTACGTACCTCTTTACTGGAGACGCGGTTGCCAAGGCAACAAACAGCAGAAGGAAAGGAGTCATGGTTGATATATAAACTGTAAAAAAGGTCATATCATTAGAGTTATAAACTCAAACTCTCATAATTCAATAGGACACTTAACGACAGCCACCAAGAGAAATTCAACAATAAAGAAATTCGATAAAAACACGGTGAGGCGTAATATGAGTATTAGACTTACCAGTCTTGGCAACGTCAAGGTCTGAATGTGAATAGTACAGAGATCCGAGGCCCTAATATACCGTAGGTGTGAGAGGGTGAGCAGGTTTTACCAAATTGTGTCAATATTAGACTACCGTTTACGTATAATTGTGGTCGAAACATCCTCCATGGCAAAATAAATGCCAAGGACGGGAGATACAGATACATGTACATGAAAAACTGCGTGTGTGTTTTTCACTGCACGTAACCTTGAATAAAATATACAAAATATCTCGTATCCCGTTAGAAAGGGCTAATAATACATTACAATTATAGTAGTGTGTATATGAGTGCACTTTATTAGCTTTAGTCACATCACAAAGGTCACCAAATATTTGTATTGGACATAGTTATCAACCCCTCTCCACCAACCAGCTATTCCATTATACATTAAGCATAACAGAACATTGAAATTGTTGAACAATTGTATGTTGCTTGTTTTTAATGTATTTTTATGTTTTTTTAATTTGTGTTTATTTTCGCCTTGCTGTCGCCTCTGGTGAATCTGCAGTCGAGGCACCAAAAATCCAGCTGTAGGGAAAAGGACAATGATGTCAATAAGATCAGGTATACAAAAATGTACAATCTACAAACTAAGGAAAACAATGTAGGTAAAAAGTAGAGGAACAAGTTTTGCAAGCTAAAAAATCAAACGAAGTATTACGTACGTCGATGAAGGTTAGACATCCAGGTAATACGATACGCCAAAAAGTAGTTAAGCAACTGGATATGATTTTGAAAACGTCAGACGTTTCAGCTAGTATCCACTAGCTTTCGTCAGTGACTGTACTGACGAAAGTCAGTACAGTCAAAAAGTCAGTCACTGACGAATGCTAGTGGATACTAGCTGAAACGTCTGACGTTTTCAAAATCATATCCAGTTGCTTGAGTAACTGCTTTTCGGCGTGAAGTATTACGTATTTGATACCCTATAAGTAAAGTAAAGCCTGAGTCATCAGTGGCTTTATAAATAAGGCAAACAGAAAAAAAAAGAGTTTACATGCAGAATTATTGTGGTTGTACCTTTAGTCAATTATATTTTTAGTTATGTGGTTTACTCATTCCACTCATAGATTCCTTAAGAAGGTGGTAAAAAGCAGACACCTTAGTCAGTGCTGCCAGATGCTAGGATCATGTCCCACACAGTGTAGAATCCGGCCCCTTCTCCATCTTCTAGGTAGTTGCTGTCTGAAAACACCAAACAGAACTTTTAAGTCTTGTATTAAAATACAACATTAAAGTGGTACATAAAATAATTGGTGCATAAAAGTCAACTCAAAAGCACACCATTTAAAGTGCCCCTATAATTGCACGTAATGGTGTGGACGTGTGGCGTAGCGACAGAGTGCTCGACTCGGAACAAGAGGTCCCGGGTTCAAGTCCTGACATGCCACAAATCTTGTGCCCTTGAAAAGGCACTTAACACAACTATCCTCATCACTTTACTGAAAATGAGTATTGTCCTGTCCTGTATATTTGTACTCTCTGTTGGTGGCGGCATAAAATAAGTTGATATAACTTGAGTGTGCCGTCACCGTGTCTAGTTATGAAATGTTGGAAAAAAAACATATCAGTATTTGTTGTCGTACGATGTTATCAAGACATCCCGACCTTTTCCCAAACTTCCCCAACTAAGGTCACTGGTTGGTTGGAAAAAAATTAAACCCATCTAATTATAGCTTCATTTTGCTGCATAACTGGAGTGTACCGACGCCATGTTGGTTATTAAATGATGGACTACAAAAAAAACACGTAAAACGTATAGGTAGACGTACCATCAAGGTCGAGATCATCGAATAGCTTATCCAGGTCCATGTGGTGGCCGTGGGCCTCCCCAAAGCTGACGTATCCGTCCTTGTTTCCGTCCATATGTAGAACGAAGTCTGCCGTTTCTGATCCGAGCAGTACGAGAAGCTCACTCCAGGAAAGCAGTTGGTCGCCTATTGCACGACAATTGTACATGGTACAATGTATGGTTAAACATAGTATAAAAAGAAAGGTGTATACAATGAAACTTAACATCTTAGGTACTAAAACGTGCTACTATACTATACAATTTCAATCAGGGCTAATCAAGAGTTTTGGTATTTTTCTGGTGACAAAATACTCCGTATATGTTTTCTGTATATGCAAAATCACTTCTGTTGTATCTGTTGTATTTGTTTAATATAGATATAGAACCGTGGTTTATCCAGAACCATAGTATTACTCAAGCACGACTCTGATAGTTCACTGATATCTAAACCGTGCCTAAGGCAAATAAATCTACGTTCTTGAATACGTGCAGACTATCCAATTTCAATGTTAAGAGCAATATCTGATTCGAGCTGTATCCCGTACAAAACTAGATAAAACTGTTTTGGATACACTAGTACACTTTGTAAGCCTGGGACCCATTCTTAAGTGCTATTTGCCTGTTCTAGTAGTCATCGACCGTTACTACTAGAACCACCAAATAGCTCTTAAGGATGGATTCTAGATCTTATTTTCATACCGTCAGCGTCCAAGGCAATTAAAACCTCGAGGTAACTCATGTGGCTGAGCACTTCCAGCTTGGAGAGTTTTCCGTCCCCGTTGGCGTCTAGTGGGTTGCCGTACGCGGGGTTGTTGATGATATCGTAGATGTAGTTCAGCTGGTAGGCCTCGGCAACGTCTAGGGTCTCGTCACCTGCAGACACAGGTTATTGTGTATTGCATTTTGTAGTCTGTACAATTTTTTTCATTCATTTTTACATTCATTCATTCATTCATTCATTCATTCATTCTTTAATTCATATGCATACACCCTTAAATCATTTAAAGAGAGACTGAAATATGGATAGTACTGAGCGTATCTGACACTCGACTCCCTTCGAACAATGACCGATTGTGATTTAAGTATTTTACTATAATATTATAATGATACTTATGTTAGTTTGTTTTTCCTTCAAATTGTCCGGCATGCATCTATATATACTTAATTGAAACAAATAAAAAAGCACGTCTAAAATATGTCAAGTGACTGATGAAGAATGTATATCAGTCACGTTTATGTCATGTTAAGTACTGACTGATTTATAACTAATTAGTACACCTCTTTAGATCCCCACTTAATGAAAATATGGTCCAATTGAGAGTTTATTTTTATTTTTATTTATTCAGAACATGACAATACAAAGTGTGCACTAAAAAGCAGCGATCATGCTGATAGCGTGCACACCTAACACATACCTGGACATATGACATACAAAAACAACAATAAATAGTTAGAACAAGATATATACAAAAATAACATTATCTAATACATTACACCTGCAATTAAAATCAAGTTTATAACTGTACAGCAATTGAATGTTTAGTGTGGCTCAGCCGGAAGAGGCACAGAGTCTTTTTGAGAGTTAACCTTACGGTTGAAGTCGAACTGGTAGTAAAATTGGGACAGAGTCATTCCGTTCTCGATCTCCCTGAAGGTGAGGTGGTCGTCTCCGTCTGTGTTCAGTTGGTGAAACTTGTCTGCCGTTCCCCATAGTTCGATGATCTGAGCCTGGTAGATGAACCCGTCGCCTACGCACAGAGAAAGGATTGTGAATGAATGAATGACTGAAGGAAGGAAGGAAGGAAGGAAGGAACGAACGAACGAACGAACGAACGAATGACTGAATGAATGAATGAACGAATGAATGAATGAATGGACGAATGAATTAATGAATGAGCGAATGAGTGAATGGGTGGATGAATAAATGAATGAAGAGTTTATTGTACATACATACCCTCTGGGTAAAGGTCACAACAAATGACTAGCTAGTACACAAATGTATATGTCACAGTGGAGATTGGCATCAAGAATCTAGAAGTATCCTATGGGAGTTTGGAATTCCAGTCTGTGCCCAAAACCGAACCTTCCTTCCTTCCATCAACCCACATACCAAGAAGCAGAAAGATCCAACTACATTTTCTTGTGTTATGCTGTTTTTGTATACTGTGTATATATATATATATGGTGCAGTGCTTACCGTCTCTATCCAGGGCGACAAGAGCCTCGTGCAGTGACATGGCGTTAAACACCTCAACCCTGGACACCAGTCCGTCACCGTTGGCATCAAGGCCGCCAGTCTGTCTGTATAGAAATGCGACGAAAACTTCTTATTCTATCATGAAAGTTCATCTGTGTTGGTATTTACATGTTTCAAGTTAAAACTTTTGGTCCAGCACATAAATTCTCTCACCTAGAGCTTTCGACCAGTCAAGAAAACTTGTAGACTTGTCGGTGAAGGTTAGACATCCAGGTAACAGGATACGCCAAAAACTCATCGACAAGCAACTGGATATTGATTTTGAAAACGGTCAGACGTTTCAGGTAGCATCCACTGCCGATTTAGAATGTTTGCAGGTAATGGATGCTACCTCATAAGATCATGGTAAAATAAGGTACTAGTAGATTATGGTGACTTAAGGTATATTATGGTGAAGATTACTGAATTAAGATGAAAGCACAGCACATACCTCTTTAATGGAGATGCAGTTGACAAGGTAACAAACAGCAGAAGGAAGGGAATCATGGTTGATTTTAAGAGCTGAAACAAGACCGCCACACACCATCGTTAGAGTACAGCATTAAGATCCTCTAAAACTCATAATTCCACAGGACACCGGACACCAATAAAACGAAAAAAGATGGCACAGCAAAGGTGTCTGTAATAAAAACTTACCACTTCGACTTTACGTTATAGATGTGAACAGTCCTAAAGTATGAGGTCCTAGTGTATCATGTATGCGTACGTGAGAAAAAGAACAGGTTTCCACTGACAAACCGATGTTTATGTCAACAATAACGTCTAAATATAACCCAATTGACGCTGATAAACAACATCCATTCCAAATAACTCTGTGAGGCAATGTTTGTCATAAGTAAGAACTTAACATTTAATCAATCAATTGCCATGTATATACCGTATAACTGTTTTGTATTTTTATGCACATTGTCTATTTGACGACAGGGTGGCCTTGAAAATGTGTACTTAGGTCTACCTTCTATGCTCATGTGTATGTGGTGAAATGTAATAAATAAATGGATCAATTGGGAGATTTGGTGCTGTGGTGGTGGTTTTACTGTATATTGTTTCATTATTTTGTCATCTCCGATCATGGTTAGAAAGAGGTTGGGGGGAAGGTCTCAAAAACGTCGTACAACAGCAACTGCTAATACGCTGTAAAACTTCTCAGATGGATGCTTCCAACAACCTTTCACCCGTTGCTGATGTCACGCGTCAATAAGGTCAGATAGCTAAAGTACACTGAGTAAATTTGTTTGGCGTGTCCAATATTTTGTGACATAGAGAACAATGCTTATTGTTCCATAGTGCATTTTACGACTTTTGATATCATGCTAAAACGCATGATATGGCAGAGGTGAAATACATAACGCTTAACCCCATGTGATCAAATTAAGTAAGACTAAAACAATGAGAAAAGCATAGAAGAATGTTGAAATTCTCGAAGAATTTTATTTGGTTCTTGTTGACTCCATTTTATTATAATTCTAGTCTTAAGTTTTGCTTTCATGCCAGTTTTGGAGAGTCGGCAGTTGAGTCAGCACAGGACCAGGCTGTGGGGTTAGAAACACCAATGTCAGGAAGTCAGTCATGGCTCCAAATGTGTATCTGTAGTCAGTAAAAAAAAGACTGCAGGATAGAGAAAAAAAAAACAAACTTTCCAAGCTAAAAATACATTCAAGCTATCTATTGCCAATACTAACCCTTTTGCAGAACATTAAATTCTGACTAGTTAAATTAAGAAAATGCAACAAATTAATACTAAATAAACATAAGAAAGATAGACGTTACGTGTAGAATCATTGTGATGTGCACCTGGTTTAAATTTGTCTTAAGATCCAGAAAAAAGCCTTGCTGTGTGTTTTATGCAAACCAGTCGTAGGTAGCTTTATTTCCCTAGTTTTAGAATTTTAGATAATATAATATAAAAGATAATCCTCGTACTATAAGCTCCATCTGTTCTTACATTTACAACTGTCTTAAGAAGCGAGAAGAAGCCGAACATGTATAAATGTAGTTATTTTTTTTACTATAGATACATTTTAGTGTACCATTAGTCCATTACTATTTGCCGTGATCTGTACTTAGTTCGCAATTGAGCAAATATGTACAATAAAGGTCTTTCATTAAATAAGAAAGAATCTAGACGTTAAAAACAGATACCTTAGACATTATTAACATCCGCAGGATCGACGGGAAGAGCCTGGACGGCGGCCCACACGGCATTGATACCGGCCGACTCCGCATCCTCTATGTAGCCGCTATCTGTGGAAGATGTACAAAATGCGCCGATGAAGGTCAGACATCCAGGTAATGAAATACGCCAAAAAGCAGTTACTAATACGACAAGCAACTGGATATGATTTTCCAAAAATTACATCCAGTTGCTTGAGTAACTGCTTTTTGGCGTAATGTACAAAATAAATTGGTGGACGTACCAACCACTAAGTACCTAATACCAGCTCAGAAAAGAACAAAAAAATGTTATGCCAAAGTTAGTAACCAAGGATTGGGATATTCAAAAACTGTGTCGCTGTTATACTGGCTATATAAAGATACAGATAGGGAAGGTGGTGTGTTACGCCGAAGGGTGGTTATATCGGCTATACAGATACAGAAGCTGGTGTGTTACGCCGAAGGGCGGTTATACCGGCTATACAGATACAGAAGCTGGTGTCTTACGCCGAAGGGCGGTTATACCGGCTATACAGATACAGAAGCTGGTGTCTTACGCCGAAGGGCGGTTATACCGGCTGTACAGATACAGAAGCTGGTGTGTTACGCCGAAGGGCGGTTATACCGGCTATACAGATACAGAAGCTGGTGTGTTACGCCGAAGGGCGGTTATACCGGCTATACAGATACAGAAGCTGGTGTGTTACGCCGAAGGGCGGTTATACCGGCTATACAGATACAGAAGCTGGTGTGTTACGCCAAAAGGCGGTTATACCGGCTATACAGATACAGAAGCTGGTGTGTTACGCCGAAGGGCGGTTATACCGGCTGTACAGGTACAGAAGCTGGTGTGTTACGCCCAAGGACGGTTATGCGGGTTATACAGATACAGAAGCTGGTGTACCAAAGAGCAGTTAATACAGATACTTGTAAACGTACTATCCAGATCCAGCCTATCGAAGAGCGTGTCCAGGTTAGCGTGGTGGTGGTGGGCCTCGCCAAAGCTGACCACTCCGTCGTTGTTGTCGTCCTGAGCGTTGATGAAGTCCTGGGTCTGGGAGCCGAGGAGGACGCTCAACTCAGCGAAGTCCAGCCGGTGACTTTCTACACATACAAAATCATCCACTTAGAGACTGACATTCGAGTCATCCTACGACATCTGTCTAAGTAAGAATACCCGCTAGTTCCGATTGTGCAATTAGTGGGTTTACTTCACAGGATGTTGTGATTCAAGGGTTTTAAGTGTAGAAGGGGTTGATGTGACGAAATGAAACTTGTGTACATCAATGTCCTGCGAAAATTTGAGAACCAACATATCAGAAATTGCTTGGTCTACATGAAGAATAAATGTTTCCGTTCCTTATCAAAAACATTGATCAGGTACGGTTCTAGATAGCCAACGCATATCCAGAACCGTGCCTGGGGCAAATCTACATTTTTGGATACACAGACACAATCCAACACAGATGAACTTTCAAGATAACAGTAGTATCTTATTTTCGTACCGTCTACGTCCAAGGCAGTCAGGATCTCGTTGTAAGTCATGTGGCTCTGCACTTCTAGGTTAGAGAGTAGACCATCTCCGTTGTCGTCCAGAACTTCCACCGGCGTGACCATGTTGATGACGTCGTAGATGTAGTGAAGCTGGTAGGCCTCAGCCTGGTCCAGGGTTCCGTCACCTGCAGATATAGTTTGTATTTAATTGAAATCATTATCATGCCTCCTGATTAATCCTGTACGCTTAATAAAGTCACTGCAGTACCCCCTGTTCCACATGGTGGACACTAGAGTAGTCCATGCGACACCATTGTCTTTATCTAACATTGGCAGCAAAAATGTAGTATGTAGTCTTCCCCCTCTGCTACGTCCCCCCGTTGGAAGTCACTGGATTAGCCTACAGCTACATGTACCATCTGGTTTACTACTATGAACAACATGCCCTGCCAGGGCGAGCCTGCGTTGTCGCACTGCAGACGAAATACATGGATACCAGTCTTCACCAGACTCATTTGCAGGCTGAAAAAATAGTAGAAATTGGCCTAAAGGGGAATATAATTGACCAGAGGACTTAGCCGGCCAGCGAGTGCCCAATTTGTCTGCACGGAGTCTTTGGGAAGTCGCTATCCTCTCTTACGCCAGTAATTCGTTTTAAAAAGGTGTTAAATAGGTGCTAAGTACCAGAGAAAGAGGTTTATTGCTTATCAAGTGTGACGTGCAGGCAAATGGATCCTATGGTGGAATTAAGAGTTAACGTTACCGTTGAAGTCGAACTGGTTGTAGAAGTCCATGAGAGTCATTCCGTTTTCAATCTCCGTGAAGTTAAGATGGTTGTCGCCGTCGGTGTTCAGTTCGTAAAACTTGTCTCCGACTCCCCACAGCTCGATGATCTGTGGCAGGTAGATGAAGCCATCGCCTGCAAACAGAGAAAGGATGCATTAACGTTTTAGACTACGGTCAGCAAGGCTCCGGCTCTTTGGCCATATTCCTCGGGCAGAGCCCCCTCCCTCGGAAACCAGCTGCTCTACTGAGGGAGCCAACCCCCCTTCTTATTCTTGTCCCGACGAAAAACAAAGATGGCGGCCGTTAAAACAGTTAAACAACAACACGAAAAGGCTCCTTCCTCAAAACACCAAGCTCGGCCCCCAAATCACGGAATGGGACAAAGCCCTTGTGTGTCCAGAACTGTGCCCGGTCAGGCACGGTTCGGGACAGTCCCCGCGTGTTCCAGACTGTAGATTTGCCCCAGGCACGGTTTGGGACACGCGGCCAGACATGGTTTGGGACAAGGCACGGTTTGGGACACAACACCCCACCAGTGGACGTCCAGTCCCAATGAACGGCCACGACGCACCTGGCGTGACAAACTGAAGGACGACTTTCTGGCTGTCGGCCTCGACCTCAACACAGAGGCAACAGAGACAGATCTACCTGGAGACCTACCTACTCTTTCCAGCCGCCTCCCGAAGCCTGGTAGAGGCTATGAGTGAGTGAGTCCGAGATCTCGACGCTAATTACAAAGGTTTATGAAGGCTCTTTCAAGTAGCAACCAGTAAGACGGCTGAGACGCCAACTTCAAACATTCCAGACTTTGTGAAGTACTTTACAAAATGTACGTTACGCACGTTACCATGTACGTTACGTGCTCTCATATATAGAATGCATCGAGGAAGCAAACGTCACAAATATCACAAACGCTGCACGATAAAGATAAAACAGATAAAGTCATACAAAATTCTGCTGTTAAGTTTATAGGTATGGAAAAGGTTGTCTTAGCTTCTTGTCGGTAGTTTGTTGTCTCACAACCTGTTAATTTGATCACATACGACGCATATGATCACGTTGTTAAGTACAAGTTTGGATAATATTACCATCGCTGTCGAGAGCCGTGAGGGCCTGTTGCAGGGTCATGGCGTTCATAAGTTCATCCTGGGATACCAGACCGTCACCGTCGGCATCTAGGCCGCTGGTCTGCCTGTGTGAAAAAACGGGAAAGATAACTTGAAGTCTCGTCGGCGAAGTTACACAAAAAGTCACACAAGCAACTGAATATGATTTTGAAAACTGTCGTTTCAGGTAGCATCCACTACTGTCTCCAGAACCATATCCAGTTACTAAGGTAAATGTGGGGTCGTGTGGCGTAGCGGCAAAGTGCGCGACTTGGAACCGTCCCGGGTTCGAGTCCTGACCTGCCACCAATTTTGTGCCCTTGGGAAAGGCACTTTACACGACTTCCCTCACTTCGCTCAGGTGAAAATGAGTATTGTCCTGTCATGTATTTGTCTCCTGTGTTGGTGGTGGCATTAATATAACTTGAGTGTGCTGTCACCACGTCTGGTGATTACATGTTGGAATAACAAAAAGGTAACTGCTTGTTTGGTGTGATTTTTGTGGACACGGTTGGGGGCAGGTCATCTAGCTGCAGTGTATACGAAATATAACCAGTCAGACATTATAGAAGGACGCTTTCAAATGTTGGTTAAGTAATGAGTCCTTGTTTTGTTGAAGACATGTTTTACCCTATTTTTTACAGTATACTTTTGATTTTCACAACTCAAAGACATGGGGTGTGAAACAGACTGCTGAAGAACCAATGCGGTTTGTAGAAGCGAATGTATAGCATTTGAACAATTCAGATTTCTGTTGCTGCCGTAATTACAAAAAAAGGAAAGCAGGGTAACCGAGTTAAGGTGGTTAAGGGTAACCGAGTTATAGTGTCTTGAGACACTATAAACAACTGAGAAAAAAGTTAGATGTCCAGCACTTACCTCTTTACTGGAGAGGCGGTTGCCAAGGCAACGAACAGCAGAAGGAAGGGAGTCATGGTTGTTTCTTTAGCTGAAAAGAGGCAGGCAAATACCATTGTTAGTAAAAACCACACAAATAATCTGTAACTCGCATACTTCAACAGGACACCTTACGACCAACACAAAATTGACAAAAATACGGCAAAGGCGAATGTGACTTACCAGAGACTTTATTTGCAAAATCATGCTCAAAGGCATACCCAATTCCTTTTACAGTCAAAGATACTTTTCAGTACAATACAATAATAGAAGGCGAACTTACCAATCCTGAAGACTTCAAGTTCTGGATCTGAATGTTCCCGAGATCCGAGGCCCTAATATACCGTAGGTGTGAGAAGGCGAACAGGTTGCAACGGACGAATTGATGTTTTTGTCAACATGAACGTCTAAATATAACTCGATGAAACAACGTTCATTGCAAAATAACTCACGGTCAAGGATCAGGTCAAGGAGACGCAACGACCTCCGGCAGAGGTCAAGGAAGGGGTTGAGGTGAAGGGTGGGGAGGGGAGGGGGCAATTCCACTGAATTCAGTGTCCATTTTTTGCCGGTGGCCACGAGGCTGAGTATAACGATTTTTTGGTCCTGTGCTTGGGTCTCCATATATTACCATATAAATGAAAATCAAGCAGATGTCAAGAGGGAAGACAGGCTGGATGGAACAATTCTTTACTGCGCATAACAACTATTTAGCCTGGGTATACTATGCTGGTTAGTTTACGTCCGCTCAGACTGGTTGGTTGGTAGTTACCGGCCAGTGGGAGTGGACGTTAACTAACCAGGATAGTACCCAGGCTAACCACTAATAAAAAAAAAAATCATCTCTTCTCCCTTAGAAAGAGTTCATGGTACATTGAAATGATACGCAGTGTGTATCTGAGTTAAGTCGTAATAGCATAGTTACAAACTTGAGTCACACATCTTCATCACACCCACCTTACCCAACCTATTTACTCCTACATCTTTATATTCTAACATCTAATCACAAGACGTGTTGACGGCACACTCAAGTTTTTTCAACTTATATTAATGCCGCCACCAACACAGGGGACAATACAAGACTCATTTTCAACTGAGTGAAATGCGGAAAGTCGTGTAAAGGGCACAAGATCGGTGGCATGTCAGGACTCGAACCCGGGACCACTTGGTTCCGAGTCGAGCACTCTGCCGCTATGCCACACGACCCCACATTCCTATCTTGTCCCCTTGTCAGCTTTTCAGCATTAAAAGCATTTCTTTTCGCAACTAAACAATAGTTGAAAAGTTTTATCCCGATTCTTTTGTTTTGTGAATATCAGGCTTTGAGAAACTAAACCGTGTTAGACTCCTGCCACACTTGGGCGACCGGGACATTTCGACCTCCTCCAGATCATGGTTGGCAGTTGGTCGAGAGGAAGGTCTTCTGTGATCGGGAGTTGGTTGGCGAGGTTGCGTACTCGTCTTGAAAAGTCGTTAGCGTCAGTCGAACATGACTGTTGATAAAAGAAAGTCGAGAAATGCACATCGTGCTTGGAGGCAATTCAGCCAGGTCAAATTATCGTCCATAGTTTGAATAAGATATTACTATGTAATTTTTCATAGTTTATTCATGATCTGTACTTAGCTTGCAATAAAGGCCGTCCTTAACTTTTCATTCATGTAATTGGATGGATTTTAGTTTTTTTCCAACCAAACACTGACCTTGGTTAGGGAGAGTTTGGGGCAAGGTCGTGAGAAGGTCTTGAAAACAGCGTACGACAACAAATGCTGTTGTGTCGTAGGACTTCTCAAATGCATGCTTTCGATAACCTTTGACCCATTGCTGACGTCAGACTTAAATAAACCCACATCTACCAAGTCGGATAGTTTAATTAAGAAGTCTGGGCGAGTCCATTTTTTTAAATTGGGTAACAATTTAATTGTTAGCATGAAGGTATGACCCGCCACTACGGTCACGTGTCTCTGACGCCACGTTCCAAGAGTAGAAGGGTCCATTCCGTGAACAGGGTTGATGGAGTCAACCGAAAATTTGGGGTAGGTCCCAATTCTTTGTAGTTAGTGATGGAAGTTAAAGCTTAGTCTCTATTTCGTAACAGTTTAATTGTTGTACAATGTATTGTATATGGATTTACCAACGCGGATACGTTTCATGCTAATACAGTATACTGACGGGTTATGTGTACGTGTGTGATACCACATATAACGCGTAAACTATTTTGTTGACATTGAGTAAACTAAAAAAATACAATAATGACAAAAACGCAGAATAGCAGGTTGAAACCGCTGAAGAAGTTTATTCTGTTGTGTTCATTGTAATACCAGTATTCTGATTTCAGTTTTCCAGGTTGCATTGTTGCCGCTACCTGAGAATCTGCGGTTGGTTCACCACTAGGAACAGCTGTAGCAAAAGGAGATTGATGTCAGGGATGCAAATTTGCAATCTTTGTGGCAATATTTTTTTCAATTAAACAATACATAGATGCACAAAGATTAGAAAATTTTTACTAATTTCAACCCTTTAGCAGGTTAGTAAAGCCTGGCTATTCAATTTTATCATTGTGATTGTGATTGTACGTGCTTCAAATTTGTATTCTTATGTAAAATCAAATCATTTTTGTATAATGTCATTATTCGTCGTGCAATAACTCGTATAAATCAGCCATAGATATCATAGATGTCGTTCGGTGCGATATAGCAAGCTGCCGCCGCGCCGCGTGCCTGCAAAGCTGGTGTGTTACGCCGAAGGGTGGTTATACCGGGTATACAGATACAGAAGCTGGTGTGTTACGCCGAAGGGCGGTTATACCGGCTATACAGATACAGAAGCTGGTGTGTTACTCCGAAGGGGGGTTATACCGGCTATACAGATACAGAAGCTGGTGTGTTACGCCGAAGGGGGGTTATACCGGCTATACAGATACAGACGCTGGTGTGTTACGCCGAAGGGGGGTTATACCGGCTATACAGATACAGAAGCTGGTGTGTTACGCCAAAGGGTGGTTATACCGGCTATACAGATGCAGAAGCTGGTGTGTTACTCCGAAGGGGGGTTATACCGGCTATACAGATACAGAAGCTGGTGTGTTACGCCAAAGGGTGGCTATACCGGCTATACAGATACAGAAGCTGTTGTGTTACGCTATACAGATAGATACAGATGTCTAACGAAAGAATCGATATGTTAAAACAGACACCTTATGCGATGGGATCCACCGGATCGGCAGGGAGGAGCTGGATGGCGTCCCAGACGGTGTAGAGAGCGGCCGATTCCGTATCTTCTAGGTAGCCGCTACCTGTGATAACGTTAACAGTCATATACAAAATGTAAGAGGAGAAGAGGAGATAAAGTATTTTCGTTTAATTTTCTTTTGTTTTACTTAACCTGTTTTCTTATAACATCATGTTCATCGATTTCAATAGCTTTTAATAAAGCGTTTAGGTGCTGGCAACAATATTGGTGGTATTATTGATTTGTATTTGGGATGGACGGCAGCTCAACATACAATTCTTGTATTGTCTCTTCTTTGGGCCATACACGTTGAATAGAACGCTATTTGAGAGGGTCTGGTGGTCTCAGCATGCTCTAAAAACGTGCATCTACAATTCACTAAAATGTAGCCACGATTCACTAGAATGTATCAAATATGCACTCAAATGTAGCTACAATTCACTAAAATGTAGCCACGATTCACTAAAGTGTATCTACAATTCACCAAAATGTGGCTACAATTCACTAAAATGTAGCTACAATAGACTGAAATGTAGCTAAGAGTCACTAAACTGTAGCTGCAATTCACTTAACTGCAAATAGCTGAAAATGCATTGCCCATCCCCACGTGGAAACGTTGTATGCAAACTTACCGTCCAGATCCAGCCTATTGAAGAGCGTGTTGAGGTTGGCGTGGTGGTGGTGAGCCTCGCCAAAGCTGACCACTCCGTCGTTGTTGTCGTCTTGAGCGTTGATGAAGTCTTGGGTCTGGGAGCCGAGGAGGACGCTCAACTCAGCCGAATCCAGCCGGTGACTGTCTACACATGCAAAATCACAAACAAGACTGGCAATGAAATCATACATTACCATGGCGACGGTGGGTGCTGTTAGAGTTATTGTTTGCATGCATGGCACTGCCATCATTTCATGATTTTGAGGAAGCCTTGGTAGACAGATGCAGTGCACCCCTCCCCTGATTGTATAGTGAACGAGCCCCGAGGTCACAGAAATTAGGGCCATCTGGGGCAGACAGGTCTTCCCAAGGGTTCCAGGAATGTGGGCATAGATGTGGGTCAGAGAAATGCCTGTGGACATTCCGCGTGCCTTTGGACAAAATGCCTGTACCATTCCTAGAATTCTTGCAAACTACACACAATACTGTACCATTAGGCTCCTCCCTGAGACGTCGCCAAAAAAAGTACAATCCCTTACAAGATGTCTCTTCTAAACAGTACAAAAATGTAACAGTACCACGAGTTTGACGGACAGTTACTTCCTCTCACCTAGAGCTTTAGACCAGTCACTCTGGTCTTCCTCAGTAGACTCATTGAACCGCGACGGGGGCCGACATCGTCTACAAGATACCTTTGAGCCAGTGTTGACGTCACACTTCAAAGAAGCCACGTGACAAGATTCACTGGGTCAGTCTACTGAGGAAGACCAGAGTGACTGGTCGAAAGCTCTAGGTGGGAGAATTTTTGTGTTGGGCCAAAAGTTTTAACGTTAAAAGGTTCTGGGTACAACAGCATCTTATTTTTCGTACCATCAGTGTCCAAGGCAGACAAAATCTCGTCGTAAGTCATGTGGCTCTGCACCTCTAGACGGGAGAGAATCCCGTCGCCGTTGTCATCCAGGACTTCCTCAGGCGTGACCATGTTGATGACGTCGTAGATGTAGTGAAGCTGGTAGGCCTCAGCCTGGTCCAGGGTTCCGTCACCTGCACACAGTTTTATAGACTTATTTTATTGCAATTACATGCCCGAGGGGCTAATTGCAAGCAAACAACCTATGGGGGTCGTGTGGCGTAGCGGCAGAATGCTCGAATCGGAACCAAGGGTCCCGGGCCTGCCGGACAATTCTTGGCTCCGATTATACCAGCTACACTGAGGCCTGCCGGACACTTGTCTTACCAACCCTAGACAGCCGCCGCCGTGACTTGTGTTTTAAGTTTGCCAGACAACTTGTAACATCTGTAAAATTCAGAAACTGGCTCCCACCTCTCCGTGGCGAGGTTAGCGGCAGACATACGAGAACATCTCAACTCATAGACACAATTACAACTAGGACTGACAGATACAAAAAAAAGCCCAATCCCTTACATGTTATCCCTCCTAAACAGCACAAAT